TTGTATCTTATTTTCTTTTTCTGTTTTTGCGATAATAGATGTTCTGGCTTGTCATAAAAGAATGTTTGCACATGTACGAAAAAAAAGACTCGTTATGAACATTAAATGATTTCCAAAGATTATTGGGGGACATTAATTGGATTCACCCAAAACTAGGAAAACACATATACACATACACAAACACACACACATAAGAATTGTCTCTGTATTCTTACACCTGAAGCCCTTAAAGAGCTCAAGGTGATAGAAGCTACCTTGGCAAATAGACAGGTGCACCAAGTTCTTCCAACTGTGCCTCTTGTGTTGCCCACTCCTTACTCGCACCCTGGACTTCTTGGTCTAGTGGTGAATAATAAATGCCACCCTATTGGGTGGCATGGTCTCACTGACCAGCTTATAACAAGTCTTCCGACTTCTACAGATCAGGTGGCTAGGCTGCTTCAGCAGGCCTGCCACCACAGCGTCCAGCTTTTAGTGTTTGATCCTAGTTGGATCACGCTGCATGTTACTCTTGGGCAGCATGCTCATTTATTACAAACCTCCTTACTCTGAAGATAGCTTCTGCAGATTACATAAGATTAATTGATGCTCATCCTTCTGTATGACTCTATTGCCACTATTTAATAATCTTACCAGAAGTATTCAGACAATTCCTCTTCTGAGTGCCTCACCTTACCTTATAGTAAGTTGAGGTTTTCTCATGTTTTTGCTGCTTTTGGACTATGAAAAATCACCAAAAAATTGCTATCCCTGGACTTTCAGCTCAAGGATCAGAATTCGTTTCTATAATTATCATACTGGAATGCATTCTGGCAGAACCTGTTAATATTTTATGTGGTCCTGCCTGCGTAGTTAATTGCTTGGAGACAGCCAGTATAAAAGGTAACCCAAGTCTCCCTCTGTTCAATCTATTTTTTACAATTACCGAAAGCCATTAGAAGTAGGACTGCCCCTTTCTATGTAGGACATGTCACTCACATTCTGGTCTTCTGGACTACTAGCAGAAGGAAATCATCATGCCAATAGACTCATCGCCTCAGCTTCTCAGCAGGTGGCACTTTCCCATTCTTGTTCCATTAGAACCCTCAGGCCCCTACCTCTGGCTTTAAACCTCCCAGATCACAAGCATGCCACATTGTGCGATCCTGTCCAGCATGACAAACTTTGCCCACATCAGTCCCTTCAGAAGACTGTGGTCCCTGAGACCTTCATGTGGGTGAGCTGTGGAAGACAGATGTAGCAAGTGTCCCAATTTGGCAGACTTCAGTATGTGCATGTCAGTACAGTCACTTAACTCTCATCTTATACATTCTACCTGCCATGCAGCAAAGACTGCAGGGCATATACCAGCAGTACTGTCCCAGCATTTGCTAAAATGGGAATCTGTGTGAAAATAAAGACATAAGGTCCTGCCTATATAAGAAAGAGCTTTTCAAAACTTTTTACAGCAGTGGAATGTTAAGTCATTCTGCTGGAATTCCTTATAATCTGCAAAGACAAGCAGTTGTTGAGTGTGCACATTTTGCATTAAAACCACAGTTAACAAAAAGAGGAAGTAAGTCATAATAAGCCACACCCTCACCTAGATCTTGCAATGCTTACCCTTCATTATTTGAATCCTGTTGGTGATGTAGAGAGCACCCCAGCAGAATCACTTTGGTTAAAACTACAACAGCATGGGGAAAAGGAGAAAGCAGGTATGTTATGGTGGTCCCCATCATATGGAAGTAGAAGGTGAACCAGTTACCCAGTCAGTGTGGAGGTTTGGTTGTGTCATTGCAGGAAGTGGAAAGACAGTGTGGACTCCCTCTAGGAGCTTGGGACCATGGAAGGGGTCAGCCCTTGACCTGCCCAAGGTGGAACTTGACTCCTCTGCCATCATCAGTGGGGACCTTCTCCCAGATAATTGAAGAAAACTATCCAGAGGCAGAAATCCTTGTCTGTCGAGGCCTTTCCAGAATGCCTGTAGTACCCTCATTGCTATGATTAATATCAAAGCATGCAAGGACTGATGGGATTTCTGACAGTTTCTCTTAGCGTTCTGTTCATAGTCTGCAGACCACCACAGGAGAGGAGCCCAACAACCCAGGAAACGGGCAACTGCCCTTTGCTTCGCTTCTGCTGCTGCTATTACAAAAACAAAAAGGGAGCCCTGAGGAGACCAACTGGTGAGGATCGAGGCCTCACTGACCTTCCCTGTGAGCACAAAGGAGAAAAGCAGCAAGCTGAGCTTCTGTGGCAACCTGTGGGCCTGGTGGCACACTGCTGTTTAGGAAAGAGTCAGCAGGGCTCACATTGTGTTGTTTAACTGGTCATGTACTATGGATAACAGGAGGCAGGTGAATCTTCTGTTACACTAGTTGTCTGCTCCCATGTCTAAGTAAATAAAAAAGAGGTGAGCCAAATGCTCAGGACTCTTTTTTTTTTAATTAATTAATTATTTGGTACAGGGTCTCTTTATGCAGCTCAGACTCATAGTGATCCTCCTGTCTCAGCCTCCCCAGCACTGGGATTACAAGTAGGATCAAGGGACCATGGAATGGATCATCGCTTGACCTGCCCAAGGTGGGCACCTTCTCCCAGATAATTGAAGAAAACAAACTATTACACCCAGTTTGTGGTGTGCTGTGCCTGGGGCTCCAGGGCCAGCATGACATGCAGTACCAGGAATTGAGCCCTTATCTTTCCGCTTGCCAGGCAGGTGCTTAAACTGCCAAGCTATCTCTCTAGCTGTCAGGGTTCTGTTGGTCCAGTAGAGGCAAAAAGCATGTTGGTCCCGCATTCTGCATTAATTCTGTGCCTTTTTGTTCTTTACACTTGTTCACGCTCCACTCCCCTCAGTCAAGGATGAACCTGCACGCTGGTCCCTACAAAAGCAGAGTCAACAAATTACATACTCTGAAGTTATAAAGTTACTCTCTACCTAAACCAAATGCACGCCAATACCCACATCATTAAAAGTAGAAAACAAACTTTATTTGATGAAAACTTTTTAAAAGTTCCAGTATGAAGTAACAAAATCAACAACCTACAAATCTCTTTCAGTCATTTGCACTTCAAGCAAAATATTCTCTTCAGAAAAATGACCATTTCATAATATATACCCTTTCTGTAGGCTAGACATGAGTGAATAAATGGATATAAAATTCAAGAGAAACAAAAGAACACATTTTGAAAATAAAAATCTGAATCCTCTCTTCGAGGTGTATTGCAATATGGTTACCAACATTTTCAGCACCTTGTATTTACCAAGTTACTGATTTGAGTCCTAGAATAAGGCTCTGAAATGAAAGAAGAGATCCAAGTTGTTTGTGAGTCACAGGTTGGCAGCAGAAAAACTGATAGCAGCTAGAAAGGAGCTCAAGTATTTGAAATCCACACTTCTGCAATATGTAACATTCACTTGAAACTGCTAATTGTATGATTCAAAGAAGGAAGCTGCTCAGCATTTAGAATTCAGACAGTTGTCTTCTGGGGGACCTCGGCTTTCCTAACACATCTGCACTGCTGCTATTAGCACAGACTCCACTAAGGGACCAATCAGAAGATCTCACAGCACAGACCTACTGAGTATGGAAAACTTGCTCCCGGACTCTATTCCTATCCTAGGCTTACACAAGCCTTTCAAGACCTACAGTTCTTGTCAATATTCCCTGTTAATGAACCATGTCTAGAAAGTCAAGAATATCTGAACCAAAACATTGTTACCCTTTTGCACCAATAGAAAAGATCGGTCTCTTGAATCTTTTCTCCTTTGCCTCTTCATTGAGAATCCTGAGACGGTCAGGAAATACACAAGGCAAGGAAGACACTATAAATGAAAGAACTACTGAACTCACAAAATAATTTCAAATGAGCTTTAACCATGAGCGAAAACTAGAAACTTACAGCCCCATTTTTTTTAAGGGCAAACAGTACTTTACCTCTTGATCTTAGGAATACAGCTCTCTGTACCAAATGTCTGAGGATCAGGTCATGAGAAATCACTTCATGCCTAAGTATTTCAAGTCTAGATGCAGTTAAGTGAATTTGTGTTTCTGTTCAGAAGCAGCTATAATTTTATCTGATTTGATGAAACTTTTTGTCCAGATTACTTATATGCTCTTCATTTCAAAAGGGCAATAATCTGTGCTTACCTGCTTATATATCTGAAATCACCCATCATAATCCTATATAAGCTTATTTACTAGAGAACTACGAGGTTATGCTTTTTACCAGGAAATCCATTCCTATTAACGTAGACTCAATAACATCTTCTACCATCGTGACGTAGTCCTGTACATGAGCACTATATGGGTAACTCCGTTGTCAGTACCTAGCATGCTCAGTCGTTCCCATCATAACCATAGGCCTGGTAGCCACTGTTCCTTCTCTCGTGGATACTAGACATCTTTTTCCAAGCTGAGTCCTGATGGAAACTTGCACTGAAGGACCGGCCCAGACGCACGTGCTGCTTCTTGGAGATATTGTCTTCACTCTCAGATTTGGCGATTCCTTGCACATGTGTTGGAGGCTGGGATTCTTGTCTAATGGTTCCAAATGGAAAGTTCCAGAGGCCAAATCTTTGCCAACTGAGTCTCTGGAATGCTATAATGCAATGCAAATTTCCCCCGACCTAAGAAGAAAACAAGAGTTTTGGGGGGGGGGGGAAATCAAAGAAATGTATATAAATTTGTGGGTCCCTTTGGACTCCTATTATGGTTTAAATTTAAAATATCCCCCAAAAGTCTCTAGTACATGCAGAGGTGGGGCTTTCAGGTGACTGGATCATGAAGGGTCTAACTTCATTAAGTGGTTTAATTTACTGACAAAATCATCATGTGGCAGTGTTATTGGGAGGTGATGGACACTTATGTGATAGAGTCTAGCCAAGGAGAGTGGACTCATGGACTGTGGCCTTGAGGGCCACGTTTGGTCCCTAGCCCCTCCTTTTAGACTTTCTTCTTTCTCTGCTTCCTGACTGCCATGAGGTGAGCAGCGTTCCTCTGGCCTCCCCTTCGGCCACCATATTCTGCGCTGCCCTGTGATGCTCCACCTTCCCCCAAGCCCACAGCGATGGAGCCTGCTGACCATGGGCAGAAACCCCTGAAAGCAGGAGCCAAAATAAATATTTCCTCCTTTTATGTTTATGTATGTCAGGTATTTTTCCAGACCCATGGAAATAACAGAACTCCCTTGGTTCGAGGTCCTTTTATGTGCCTAAAACAGTACTTTTCTGTTTAAACATTATCAGAGCATATTATGCTATGCATCTTTTCTGAAAAATTCTACAAAATATAACAAAGAAGAATACTGATACCCAAGTACTTCTATCCTCCATACATACTTCTCTACAACTCATTTTCAACATACACTCTCACCACTGCATCTGCCTAATTCAAATATCAAGATCATTCTTCCTCTATTCTTTTCATAGTCTTACATTAATACAATTGTATGAATCAGATATCTACTTCATACCTACCACCTATCTACTTTTCTCTGAAAGCTTTGCCCTGCAGCCTTGTCTATAGATATGACCACAGTTAATTTGGCCCTACCTGGGTTAAGACTGTGAAACTGGATCAAGACAGGTCAGTCTCAATCTATTAATCTGAAAGGGAGCCATAAATTGGAGGATTATAATCCTCAAGAAATAACCAGAGAGGACTCAACAGCACAGCACCTGCCTGGCAAGCACAAGGTCCTGAGTTTTATTCCCAGTATAAGAAAAAAGAAAAGGAAGGCAGGGAAGGAGAGGGGAGGGGAGAAGAGGGGAGGAGAAGGAAGGGAAAGAAGAAAGAACAAACTAGATAAAAGAAGAGCTCAGAACAACACATAGCCTCTATATGAGTAGAGTTGAGACTGACCTGTCTTGACCCAGTTTCACAGTCTTAGCCCAGGTAGGGCCAAATTAACTGAGGCTGTATGTACAGACAAGGCCGCAGGGCAAAGATTTCAGAGAAAAGTAGATAGGTGGCAAGCATGAAGTAGATATCTGATTCATACAGTTGTACTAATGTAAGACTATGAAAAGAGTAGAGGAAGAATGATCTTGAGGATCGCTAGCTACTTGACTTCGGGAAACATTTTGTATCATTCCGGTAGAAGCTACCAATCCATTACAACTCCACACTCCTTTCTTGTCCTTGAGTTCTGAATAGCTCTATGTCCTTAAAATAAGTTTCACTTATCTGCCTAAAATGGTTTTAGTTAGGTTTATGTAATTTATAACCTAAACAGTATCAAGTGGACTTGTAGAAAATGCCTTCAAACAAAATTGTGTTCTTACCTTCTTTGTTTTCCGAAACTGCAGTCCTCTTTCTAAGTGCCGGATATCTAGGTATTCTGGGTTTTGAGTGTTTAGATCAGTAACAATATCTGCCCATCTATAGTTAAGAAACACAGTACAATTTTCTTTAGGTTCATAGTACTAATGTAACATAACTTTTCACAACAGTTGCTACCATATTATCATGGTGGTAACTGGAGATAATTGGCTTATCCCACTATTGTTTCATCTACTAAGCTTTAAAAACTTGTTTTATGACAATTATGTCTATCCAGCTATTGTCAAGTTCCTCTGTTTACAATTGGTTACCTTTCCTATAAAATAAATACATGTCCACATATTCAGTAACATCCTTCAGGCTCAAGCAGGGGCATGCCATGTTTTCTTCTTAATTATAATCAAGTAGATCGTTTGAGATGGGCTTTTGCTAAGATACCCACTCTGGCCTTCAACTCCCAGGCTTACTCAGTCCTACTGCCTCAGCCTACATGTAGCTGGAACTAATGACATGCACCCATGAATTGTAACTAAATTTGTAGAAGAATCAAAAGGCAACATAGCTCCAAAAAGGGTCAGCCAGATAGCTCAGTGGATTAAAGCACCCGCTTAGGCAGATGCCGAGGCCAGAGGTTCCATTCACAGCCTGCTGTGCCGGCCCTGCCCCCAAGGCCAGCTGAGACATGATTAAGACTGGGCGTGGTAGCTCGTGCCAGTAATCCCAGAGCTTGGGAGGCTGACAAACAGGACGGATCACTTCAAGTCTGATCTGTGTAGTGAGACCCTGTAGACTCTGTACTAAATACATTAAAAAAAATAATCTCCAAACAATATAGATTGTGCAGAAATTCAAGACTATTAAAAAATAGTTATTAGGGGTCAGGGAGCTAGCTCAGTAGAATAAGTGCTTGCCTGGCAAGTGCAAGTCCCTGAGTTCAATCCCTGGTACCGCAAAAAAAAAAAAAAAAAAAAGATGGTGAAAAAATAGTTATTAGAATTGTTAAGTGAATTTGATAAAGATACAGGAAAATGAATGGGGTTTTTTTATACAGCAAGAAGTAGACAAATTAAATTTAAAAAATTAATTTACAATAGCACCAAAATTATAACATAGAGGAAAAATTAATAAAAGGTATTTATGACTCTACTGAAAAATACAAAGCACTGATAAGAGCAGTTAGGGTTCTAATTAAGTGAAGATACAGTCTATGACCATAGATTGGGAGATTCCATATAGTTATAATGTCAGTTCTCCCCAAACTAAACAATGAATCTCACTGATTCTATCCTAATGAAAGCTGCAACAGGTGTTTTATCAGATATTGACAAATTTCTGAAATTTTTATGGGAATGCAAAGTTCTGGCTGTATTACTTAAATGAAAAAACAGACACGAAGTTTTTTATAATTTTATTTATATGGAATGCAAGAGCAAGTAAAGCAAATTCATGACAAAAATCAGAACCAGAATGCAGGTTACCTGTTGGGATGGGTAGGGACAGAGAATGAGGGGCCTTTGTGCTTTCTGTGGTTAAACAGCATCGCACATTTGGCTGGAGTAGTAACTAGAGATACTAGTTAGTACTAGAAGTAGTAACTTGTAGAGAGTTATTGACGCTCTTCAAGATCTGTGCATTTCACTGCATCTAAATCTTATGTGAACTAAAGAAAGCAAAGCAAAGTTAACATACTTTTTACAGTGAATGGCAGGGTGCTTCCTGCTTGATTCTCCAATTAAAATCCAATATTCTACTTCCTGTGGTGAGAGAGGACCCCTGCTAAATGAAAAACACATTCAGGGTAAATTTAAGTCATTTACTCCCTTCAAAATATTGCTCCAACTATAAATTAATAAAAGACATGCTAACACCTAACATTTATTCAAAAATGGCATGCACTAATATAGAACAGATACTAGAATTTAGTCTTTGATGTCAAGGCCATCAAAGAAACTCACAAGTTAAATGTAAGCCTTAATTCCTATTCAATAGCTGGGGCTAAAAAAACTGTTACATACCACCCCTCAGATCCTCAGACAGGAGAAATAAGGATGCTACCAACACTCTTAAGGCCGCTTCTGTTTTTCACTGCTGAAACTTCAAAACACTGAAGCCCTAGTCCCATCCCTGGACATCTTAACTCAAATGAGTCAAGAATGGAGCCTCTGGATTCCTGTGTTTTGTTTTGATTTTTGATTTGCTTTTAATCTCAGGTGATTTTCAGGCATAAGCATTGATGAGGAACTCTTTAAGGAGCAAAGTAAGAGTACAATTATGTTTGCTTGGTCAATGCTTGAAACAAGGCCTATGCCCCAGGATAAGAAGATGAAAAGATCAATAATGTACCTCGCTTGAAGTTCCCCCTCCCGGGAGATAGACAAAGTGCTTCAGAATATGCAGAGACCAAGCAGTTTCTCCCTTTTCCTTATTCACAATACAGCGTCTAGCTTTCTGGCTGTCCAGGATTGTCCCTATCTCAGGATACTTCTCACTCCCCGGGGGTCTTGAGTACCACTCAATAACCATGGCCTCCAGACCCCCAAAATTCACCCTATCTGACCAAGCCATGTTCTCCTTCAGCCTCCCCTGAAGAGGCAGCACTGACCACTGACCCACTCCTCCTGCCTCACGAACTCTACTGATTCACACATGACTGAACCAGAACCTCAGAAGGGTGAGACAGCCTTGCCTGACAGTAACAGTGTGTTCATGGCTTCTGTGTCCACCAACTCTTAACCAGAACGTTTTTCCTTGTGCTCTGAGCCACCCTGGCATTTGCTCCAATCATCACACATACAAAAGAGCTTGCCGTGGAGGAAGAAAGTATTCAGGCTGTGAGCTTTCCTTGTTAGGACTGTCTCTTTCAAAAAGATCAGTGTGCATGTAGGTAACTACGTACAGTTCATGAGATAGAAACTAGGTTAAACAAAAAAGGAAATATAATGTGAAGGTAATGTAGTTCCCCACATTAGGGGAAAAAATAGCTGTGAGCCTCCTTGACACCAGGAGAGGGCGGAAGCCCTGCTGAGTTCCATATTTTTCACTCCGAAAGGAAAGATGCTTTTCATTTACTCAGCTGTGGCAGTCTTCTTGACACACTGCTCTTGTGAGTCCCTGTGTGAAGACACTGCTGCACAGCATGGAAAGTCCTTTGCAACTGTTTTATACTGGACATAGAAGAGATTCTTTAAGTGCTTTGTCTTACACCATGACTGAACAATATTAAGTTAGTGGCCTATTGTTACAGTACAGCGGAGGGCTGAGGAGATAGTGCAGGGTGTAAGTGCCTGCCTGGCAAGCTAAAGGTCATGCCGTGCAGGCCCCAGAGCCCCGGGTGCACCACGCAAGCCCTAAAACCAGGAGCGGTGGCACACGCCTGTAATCCCAGCACTGGGGAGGCTGAAACAGGAGGGTCACTAAGAGCCCAAACCCTGTAGTGAGACCTGTGTCACCGCCAACAAAAATATAATGGATATAATGCTGTTCTTCAAAAGAACAAGCTATAATGTTCAAAGCACAGCTTGATGTAAGGAAAGTAAGTTATCAAGCGTCCCAGTTTCCAGGAGACTTCAAACATGTTTCATATTCTTTCTGTAACACATTTTCCCGGCAGAGTGCCCACATAAAATACACACATGCTTACCTGAACGCCTTATTAGCTTTAACAGGGGTGGCTTCAAAGCCTATTGGACAAAAATAATGATTCTGGCAATGGTAGATATAAGCCAGCGACTCATCTTTCAATCCACGCGTTAACTTCGACAAGGCTCCCGAAGCTTCAAAAGACAAAACCAAACAAACAGAGGCCCATAAAGCACTGTCCCTGTTGCACACAGTGAGCTAGTCAAGGACAGGAAGACAGAAAAGACATTACTTGGGACACACTGGCACTGCCGGGGAAATAAGAAGCCATCGATCCGTACAATAAGTGTTACTAAGTTTATTTTCAGATCCACCCTTTAGACACATCGATATTAAACAGCAAAAAAAAAAAAAAAATCTAAATATGTCCATGTTTCTCAAAATGCCCTAATAATACACAAAGCTGTCTATGACATTTTAACTACTATATGTAAAACCTAGTATCTTGTGCTTATAGCAATGGTCTCCATTTTTGAGTCTGCACGTCCATCCTTAAAAATCCTGAATAAACATCGCAACATAGACACTTGTTTTCAAGCTGTATTCACATACTAAATACTAGTCTTTGTAAAAGACATACAAAAAATAAAACTTTTAAGTTAGATCAAAACATAAACACTATACTATATACAGGGTATGTACAACCCAATTTAAAGACCACTGAGGTATATGGATAAATGTAAATAGCTATAAACAAGCTTCAAAAATGGCAACTTCCCCTACTAACACACACTTTCTTTCTGAAAACTGTTACGCAGACCAAAAAAGTAGCTCACAAAGTGATAAGAACATCCCTACACACTCAGGCTAGAGCGCTACCACAACCCTGTAATAGTCATCAAGTAATTTCAGAAGTATTACTATAAGGAACAAGATTTTACCAGTAATCAGTACTCAAAGCCATTAACTGAGGTTTCATTAACTTGCATTCCTGGAAAAATTAAATTATTCATTAACAAACGGTCATTAAAACAACAAATCCTAACAGTAGTCAGTAAGAGCTTGCAAATTATAGTTACAATGATTGATGTTCTGGCCCAAAAGAGGAAGAACCACTATGCACAGCTGTGGCTGTCAGAGAGACAGGTCCCACCTGCCACACACAATTTCCTTTGCCCAAGGTGGTAATGACATTTGTGGCTTAAACTCTCCAGAGTTTCACCGAGACCTACATAAACATTCAGTCAGTGCTCTACCACCTGGGCATCCTGCACAGTTAGAGTCTCTCTACTAAAATCCCTTCATAATGCTAACTGTTAAGTCTTTCTGCCATTTTTGGCTGTATTCCTGACAGCCCTGGTATCCCTGGGCAGCTCTAAATGGAATATTTTAAGAATTACGGTTTTAAAATGCATTCACATCTCATTCCCACAATTTAATTTTGATTGGAAGTAGGTCCCAAGATTATGAACAAATATAACTGTGGAGTGCGGACTTCTCACAAATGCCATAATTACAAAAGATGCTTATACACATAACTGATACAGAAATTTTCTTGCAAAACTTTGTTGTGGCACTGGGATTGAATGAAGGAGGGCTCCATCTCTGAGCTGCATCTCAAGCCCTTTTCACTTTATTTTGAGACAGGCTCTTTCTAAGTGAATCCTGTATTGTTTGTTTGCTTGTTTGTTATGATACTGGGGGTCAAATCCAGGGCCTCATGCCTGTCTGGCAAGCCCTGTACCACTGACCTACACCCTTGGCCCTAACCTTGCATTGAAAGAATTTGATCAGGCCTGGAGAGGGTGGTACACCCTATTATTCCAACATCAGAGAAGCTGACTAAGGACAGTGTCAGGCTTGAGGCCAGTCTGGGCCTCCAATGCAATTTCAAGGCAAACCTAAGCTACGGAGTGAAATCAAAAGAAAACAAAAAATTTATCCTAATTTTTCAATAGAAATTTTTTGTATTTCAAAAGTTCTTCTTTTCCTAAATCAAATGTAGTTCAAAACATCTTTAGTGTGACTATGGTTAGTAATTACTTTAGTGTTGTAGAAATTTTTTAGGGGTACATGAGATAACTCTCATCAATATTCACATCATTTGTCTGCTACAGATTTCCTTTTACCACCTCTCTCTTCTTTTCCTTTCTTCTTCTTCTTCTT